GCCAACCGAGCCCAAAGCCGCACGCAACCGACTGCGAGGCAGCCGAGCCGAGCGAACCGCGGACCCCCTGGGTCACCCCCAGCGCGGAGATCGATGATCTCCGGCGATCCCATGCCTTGATCCGTCCAGTGCGCGCCCGAGACTCCCCGCAGGCCCTGCCTCTCATCCCGAGCCGCTCTCTGGCCGTCAGGCGCGGGCTCCCAAGACGCCGAACACGGCCCCAACCCTCCGCACTGCACTCTGTCACAATTACGTGTCCAGAGGGGCCGAGTCTCGGGTCGGGCGAAAGGGGGGGATAGCAAAGGGGGGGGGGGGTGAGAAGCAGCTCACGTAGCTGATTTTTTCCTGGCGCCTCCCGGCGCCGGGAGGCGGCCATGTATCGAGGAATGGGCCCCTCGGCGAGGCCGAAACCAGCTGCATGCAGCAAATTTCGTAACCCACCCTTTCCCAATCCTCCCCCTTTCGACCGGCCCGAGAGTCCGGCAGGAGTCCGCCTGGACGGAGACCGAGCACTGCGTGCGCCCTGACTCCGCACGGACCCCGCACCGCACCGGGAGGGGCCGAGTCCGGGCGGAATAGCAGCCCCGACGGAGGCCGAGCACTGCGCACGGACGCCCTCCGCGCGGCCTCGGCGCCCGCCGAGGGTTCGGGGAGGCCTCGGCTCCGAGCCGGCGCCTGCCCATCCTGGAGCCCTCGGCGTCCCTCGATCAGGGGGTCACATGCGAACCCTACCCCTACCCCCCACGATTTCTGAGGGGGAGGGTGGGGTTCACTTCGCCCGTGACCTCCCGAACGAAGTGAACCCCACCCTCCCCCTCAGAAATCGTGGGGGGCAGGGGTAGGGCTCGCATCTGGCCCCCTCTCGACGCCTGCCGGCGGCGCGCCCCCTGGTGCCAGCGGGGGGGGGGCGCCCGCCTCAGCCTCTGCAGGTCCTCCGCGAACTGCGGCCGGCTGCAGGCTCCTCGGGGGGGGGCCATGCGTCCGTCGGTCCGCCCGTCCGCCGACGACGTCGACAGCGCGGTCCGTCCGTCCGTGCGTCCGTCGATCCGTCCGTGCGTCCGTCCGTGCGTCGCCGTCGTCCGCCATGCTCGCCGTCGTCGTCTGGGTCGCCGTCTGGGCCGGCGCTGCTATGCCGCCGAGCGGCCGCGAGGCACCACGCACGCCACGTCACGAGGGGCCCGTCCGAGGCGGAGCCCTCGCCCTCACACGTCTTCGGCCGCGGGCCTGGCGTTCGCGCAGATCGGTCGGGCAAGATAAAGGGGCCCCAGAACACACAAATAAATACACACTAATAAAAATATGCCCCATATTTTCCCATATTTTCTGGGTTTTTGTCTTCCCCCCCACTTCCCATATTTTTGCATATTTTCCTGGGAGTCGACGATTAATTGTGTCTGTGTGTTTTTTTCCCTCCTGACAAGAGCGGGACTGCTGCGTAGCAGACCACTCCACCGTGAGAAGGAAGGCAGGCGGCGGCCGCGGAGGGGGGGGCGAGAAGGCGGCCCCCTCGCCTTGTCTAGAGCGGGCAACCCGGTCGCACGGCAGGCTGGGACTGGCGAGAGGGCTCGGGCTCAAGCGGAGCTGTACGACCTCTCCCTGTGGCCTTGCCCAGGGCGCCCCGCAGGTCGTGCAGCCGAGGAGTAGCCATGCCCCGCGCTCTCACGCCGTATGTAGCAGCTGCCAGGGCTCCAACTCTGGCCACGTTCATCTTGCCTTTGGACCTGTGGCGCAATCCTCGCAGACGATTGGTCTTGGGCTACACCTTCCGAACACATATGCCGGCAATGCGATAGTTGCCGAATCCCTTGTTACCGAGATTGTGGTCCCCCAAACTTGATGGTCCCAGACTACGCCACAAACTTCCAATGGCAAAGTCGCTTCCGAACCCCCCGACTGATCTCGAGAGTACTCTTCAAACATAATCCCTTGGACGCCGAGATCTCCAGGGACATGATTCCGTAACGGGCACACAGGAACGCAGTGGCAGAGCCTACCCTCTGCAGCACCTCTTTCTTATTGCCCTGCTTCTTCGATGGCGATATCGATGACATTGAAAAGGTTGAGACTGAGCCAGTTCAGCACGAACTCGTCCAGCGGATCGAGCAAACACATGTGCAAGATAATCGAAGCGTGCACACATTCTGAATACTGCCTTGCATACGCTGGAGCGCGGCAGCAAGTATACCAATAACCTTCATCACGAAACAAGCATAAGATGAAAACGTAAACCGCGTATCGATGATCCAGGGCACTCTCAGCCGCACCAAGTCGAGGCCATTTGACACGATGCCCCCCGAGGCGTCGGGAGGCCCAGAACAAGTCCCAGACGACCAGAAGACTCGATCGCCGCGCCTGGCTCAGGCTGGCCCTGGCCGGCGCTTGTGAGTCAAACCGAATCGAGTCGACTCCGAACCCTAGGTCACCGAACATCGCGCCCCGCGTCCCGCGATGCGCTGTTATCTTCGCGTTCGCGCGCCCCCGCGCCACCTCTTTGGAGAGGGCAGCCGCTCGGGGCCACGCGCCAACACCTTCGCGCTCTCGCGGATGACCCGAGACGCGCGAAACCTGTGTTGAATAAACATTCCCGCCGGCGGGGGGCGCCTGCTGCAGGGCGGCTTGAAAAATTCTACCCCTACGGTGGCACGGCAGGGCACGGTCGGACCGAGGTATAGGATCGAGGTCGGTTCGGGGAGGGTACCCCGATGTTCTTTCTGTTTGCTGGGTGCTCTTGTGCATCCTGGGCGAGGGTGCCCTCGAGTATTCTTCAGTTTGGCCGGCGGGAGGTCTCATGTTCTTGAGGGGTGATCGTGCTCTTCTGTCATGGGCCCAGCCAAATGACTCTCCAGCCGCCCTGGGACAGGCGTCCCCGCAAGCGGAAAATTCAATCTCATACCACGGGTTCGTGTCGTGTTGGCATTCGGGGATCGTTCAACGTTGATCGATCGTCCCCCTCCGAATCGTCAGATCGTTCAACATCGACCGATTCTGGGCCGGCGGCGGCGTTCCCGTTGAACGCCAAATGTAGGATCGCCGATTGGTCCGGTTCCGGTCGACACGACGCGAACCTACCGTACCGTGCATGGCCCCCTTTGGACCCGGGATTCGCGGCGCCAGCCAGCGCATCGGATCGCACTCGCGCAGAGCGTGGACGGCCCTGCCCCCAGTCCTGCGAGGGCCTCCAGCAGCCTCGTCGCCTGCCTGCTCGGGAGGTCCTGCGGCGCGCGGCGGCCAAGACCCGGCGCCAAGCCGCCGCCGCCGCCGCTGACGCCCTGACGCATCTGGGCCGAGCGGGGGAACAAGGGGGAGCTGACGAGGAGGGCGACGACGACCACGACAACGACGACGACAACGACGACGCCGACGATGAGACACGGCCATACCTGGGACAGAAGAACATCCCTCCAGAGCATGAGACCCTGCGCTGGCCAAACTGAAGACCATTCGAGGGTGCCCTCGCCCAGGATGCACAAGAGCACCCAGCAAACACGAACAACATTAGGGCACCCTCTCCTAACCGACCTCGATCCTATTCCTCGGCCCGATGAGCTAGACGAGGAGGAGGTCGATCAGGACGAGGCCGAGAATGGCTGAGGTGGAGTGCGGGGAGGCCGAGGGCGAGGTGCAAGGGAATGAGATGGACGAGCACGAGGTGGAAGGAGGAGGGAGGCGAGCACGGGGGGGGCGCGAAAAGGGCGAGGTGCAGAGGAGGACGACGGGGACGACGAGGCTCCAGTGCGAGGGGCGACGACAACGACCAGGTCGAGGAGGGCGAGGAGGACAAGGAAGAGGAGGAGAACCCTTGAGCCTTTGCGCAGCACAGCGTGCGGGCAAGAGAAAAGGAGGGAGGAGGATGGGGCGTTAGCCAGCCCAAAGGCTGGCCGACGCCTGGGCTGTAGCCATCGCAACTTCTCGCTCAACCCCAGCGGCCGGAGATGCGGACGAAGAGGAGGGAGGCAAGGGGAAGAGCGGGAAAACGAATAACCTATCGATGCTGCGAGTGCCCCCCTCCACTACCCCGTGCGCCCGTCGTACACGCGAGTCCCGTTGGCCTGCCAGTGAACGCTGCCATGAGAAGGGCTGGGATGGTTATCCTGGGATGGCACCACTGGCGGGTTGGGGAGGTGGGCAAGCAGGAGTATCTTGACTCTCTGTCCCTGCCGCGGAACATGCCGAATCTGGGATGGCGCTACTCCTATCGGTCAGGCGAGGTTGACCAACGGCCTGGGCTCTAGCAACATGCTCTGATTGGACAGTGCGCGCTGTGAGCAGGAACGAGGAGCAACACGAATATATATATATATATATATATACATATATAGCCAGCGTGCCAGAACCTGCAGTCATGCGGGACGGGTTTCAATGCCGCCTCCTGCTGGATAAAACGCAACCCTCCAATGTCCCTGTCCCAAGAGCACAGACGGAGACATAACAAATGCGGCAGAGAGATGAGTCGGAGAAGGGAAGAGGTGGCCGCCTGGAATGTGCGCGGAAGCAAATGCGACCGTCGCACTTGTTTGGAAAGTAATTTCAAGATCGTGATGCTGAGGCAGGATGAGTCAAACACCAGGGACTGTAACGGCGTGGGCCGAGGAACACTAAATTGAAAACGGCAGCGCGATGTCAACAGCGAGCCGTCCTCCATCTGGATAGTTTCTTAAACAACCTAATAAGGTACACCGAATCACCATCAACTGCCCTCACATACCTCACAATCCTCGAAGTAACATGTTGGTACCCTTACAGCACCATAACATAAACTTACGGGCCGCATCGGCCCTCTTCAGGCGGCGCGCCCGGGAGGGGGGAATGAGAGGGGGCGGGCCTTCTCAGAAGGCTCGGAAATCCACAAGCCTTCTGAAAAGTTGCCTGGAAGCCTGGAGGGCTTCTGAGAAGCCCCGCAGCCTTCTGAGAAGGCCTCGTCCTTCTCATGTCCCCCCCTCGCTCGCCGCCGACTTACGGCACCAATGCACAAACTTACCGGCCGCATGAGCCCTCTTTTTTTCTCGTCGACCAATCCACAAATTGACCATACGTCGACCAATCTACAAATTGATCGGGAGATCACGTCAAAATCGTCATCCGACGCGCCACAGGCGCACGGAGCACGGAGATCAGAGCCTGGCCACCTCACTTCTTCCTGCCCTGGTACCGCTCGTTGTTGGGGTTCAGCTGGTTGGCGTGGTTGTCCCGATCCTTCTGGGTCCCATCTCCTTTGTAATGACGATCGTAGCCCTGGTACCGCTCGTTGTTCGGGTTACACTGGATCGCGTGATTATTGAGGTCGCTCTGGCTGCGCCCACTGCTGCTGCTGCTGCTCGTGCCCGAAGACGCGGATCCCCCCATCACGCTGAGCCGAACCGGAGGGAGCGCAAGAGGATGTCCGGAGAACAGAACCCTGTCTGATGCCCCTTGAGCCAAAATGGCTACGGAACCCGGCCGCAAGAGCCCTCTTGGGATGTGGCGCATGACTTACCCGGAGGCCCTGGAAGCGCGGCTCGGGCTGCAGCCCACCCGATCAAGGGCTCATGGCCAGGGGGTGCCGTCGGGGGGCTCCTCCCCCCTCCCTTCTCCTTCGGCTTACCAGGTCCACTGAATAGGGCCACTCGCACATGCCAAAGGCGCACGAACACCCAGGAGAGCTCCTGATACATCCCTCCTCCTCCTCCTCCCTCGATCCTTCCCCCCCCCTCCTCTTCCTCCTCCTCCTCTTCCTCCTCCCCCCCTTGCCTCTCTGTCCTCCCTCCCTCCCTCCCCCCTTCTCGCTCCCCCCCCCGCCTCCTCCTCCCATGCCCCTAACGCCCCTCCTCTCTTCCTCGACCTCCCCTCTGTCGTCCTCGCCCCCTCTTCAAGCCCCCTTCCTCCTCCAACCCCCCTTCCTCCCACAGTGCTCTCCTCCTCCTCCTCCTCCTCCTCCTCCTCCTCCTCCTCCTCCTCCTCCTCCTCTTCCTCCGCCTTTATATCCTGCTGCTTTACCCCCCCTCCCACGCAGCTTCCCCCTCCCCCCTCCCTCCTCTTCTCTCCTACCCTCCCCCTTCCCCATCCCTCCTTCCTCCCTCTCTGCTGCTCCTCCTCGTCCGCCTCTCCTCCTCTGACCCCCCTTCCTCCGCAACTGCTTCATATGAGTAAGTAGCTCCACTGTCTCCCTCCCCGGTACTATCTCTATCACCCCGCCTATCCCTCACACAGTCGGGGCGTTGACCTAAGGAATCCTAAAAAAGGAACGAGCCCCCCCTTTTCTCCATGACTTAAACTTCGATTCCCCATCAAACACATAAGGACTACCTAAAGGCAAACTGCGAAACAATTAAGGAAAACGCAACCCCTCCCCAACGAACAGGATTCCGTGTCCAGCGCCCCGACCGCACTGCCTGTCACACACACAATATTGCCCAAAGGTTATTAGTTCTCGACATTTGGCAAGTTCCTATCAGCGTTTTCAGGCTATCAGAACTGTGCTCACGTTAGCGCTGTGGTCGGGTTCTGCGGTTTCAATACCAATTCCGCCCAACGGGATGATGCTCTCGACGCAGCGCTGGCCGTATGCTTGCATCGTAATAAGACGGTGCTCCCACTGATCATGTTGCCACCTTTCAAGGTTACCACTTATTTTCCGTTTCCTGGGGCGAAGTGATCGCCGCAGCGCTTGTCGTACCCCTGCATCATCAAACGTGTAGCTCCCGTTGCGACGCCTGCCACTTGTATAATCTGTCATACGACCGCCTTGCCACGGAACGACGCTTACAGATCCGTTGTGTTCGATATGTGGTGCCTGATCGTTCATGCCAACTCTTCGTTACCTTGCTCGTCGCCATCCTCAGTCCGACAGCATGCCCCGTCAGTCACCGATCCGTTTCCCTCCTGCGAGCCTCCGCCTCCTCCATGCCCCTCCCAGTTTCCCTCCGCCTCCTGAATGCCGATTCCATCCCTTGATCTCCCAGGCTCTCTTCGACACAAATTCTCAATGTTGTTACCCATGCCATACTCGACATCCGACTCTGCGAATAGCAGGGGGCTCAACTGAAAGGTAGGGGACGGTGGTATGGGCATCGTGTCAGACAACGGCGCGCGAGCGCCTCCGTCCTGCTCCCAGAAGGACGCCGCTCTTGCAGCAGAAGACCCCGACCAGCTCCACACGGAGGAGGATAGGGGGGGGGCACGGTGGGGGGCCACGGGCCCTCAGCTCGGGGGCCTGGCTCCCCTCAGCGGGCGTGGGGCAACCACAGGGGGGGCGGTGCTGGGGGGGGCACTGCTCGGGGGGTCACGGGCCCCCCATCTCGGGAGGCCCGGCCGCGATGAGGGGAACCGATGTGAGGCAACGACGGGGGGCCCGGCCTCGATGAGGGGCAACGGGCCCCCGACGACTTCGGGGGCCCGGGCGGCGCCAAGGGACTCCAGAAGGAACCGCTCGAGGCCTCAGAGACGAGCGGTGCTCGGGAACGCACAGGTGCATGCGGCAGGTCCGCGTCGCGATGAAGTCGGCGACGTGTTCTGGCAACGTCTGGATCGCTCGCCCTCGAACGATCGCGGCTCTCCGGCAGCGCAGATCACCTTGGAACGCCCGCGCCGGGGGCCGCCGCCGCGCCGACGCGGCGCGAACCTATGCCGCAGGCAAACACCTTCCGAGGTCCGCGCGCGGACTTCTCGGGTCGGCGCCGGATGCGCCCCCCCCCCCCGCCTGTGCGGAGCGAGCTCGGGGGCGGCCCCGGAGACGCCGCCAGAGGGCTCCAGCGCGGGCCCGGGGAATCCGCGAGGAGCGGAAAGATCGTCCTCGAACCACCCTATCCTGTCCTGGAGGTAACTGGTCCTGGACCCCAGCGGCTTTCGGGGGCCAGACGTTTGTCAGTCGCTTTTTCCCTTGGCGGATCCACCCTCTGCTTGGCATGCAAGAGCACGGGTCCCGGGGAACATGGGTGATGGACCCAGGGGGCTTTCCCCCAGGACCAACTCTTCGTCCCGAATCGTTATGGTGGTCCTGGGGCGAAGGACCACGAGAGCCAGAAAACATGGAAGCACCTCGAGACCGGCTTCTCCTGCTGACCAGACATCCGCGCGGCAACGTGGCGGGATTCCACACGGAGTTGGGGACATGTATTCTTTCGTGCGAAGCTTTGCTGTCTGCATAGGGACCACCACTCCCCTTGGCATGGAGAAGAGGGTCCTGAGCGAAACGGGTTCTGAACTCACGGGGGCTTTCCGACCAGCGTTTCTCGCCCTGAGTCGGGGACGCACTGACCTGGGTCAATGCAAACTCAGGTCAGTCAGGCTTTGCAGGATCCAGGAAGATCCTGCAGCATCCTGCGCGCTGACCTGGGTCAATGCACCCCTGGCTCTGCAGGATCCTGCAAAATCTGGCGCGCTCTGGCTGACCCCCGCTTGCATTGACCCTCGCCTGAAGGCTCCAGACTGAGCAAATGTTGGACGGTCCCAGGGCCCGAGGAAGACCACGGAAACCCGAGGACGGCGGCAACCAGAGGAGCCGCTGCTCCCAGGACCCTCACGAGCGGCGAGCATGTCCATATGCATGCCCTCGCGGTCTGGATTGTGGGGCGCAGTCCCGTTGACACGCGGTCGCGTGGACAGCAGAACACCTTGCGGCTTAGGGTCCTGGCCCGCAAAGGCGCGCATATGGGTACGTCGCGCGCTTCCTGCCCACGAGACCCGTCTGCTCTGTGGCGATCTCCCCCCTCACCCCCCCCCCGGGAGGGCGGAGAACAACGCGGGGGCGTCGAAGGGCAGCCATCGCTGGGCATCGCTCCTCCGAGCTCTGGCGCTGCCACGGCACCAAGGCCTGCGGAGGGGGGGTCAGCGGCGCCGACGCCGTCGTGATCGCGGGCGTCGCGGTCGTGGCTGTCGTCGTGGTCGCCGTGGTCGATGTCGTTCCCCTGAAGGCGTCAGACTAACACGGCCAAGGCCACTGGACTCTCAAAGGCCCTTAAGAGGCCCCAGGATGTGCCCAGGAGGCCGCGAAGAGGCCCCCAGGAGGCCCCAAATAAGCCCCAAGAGCCCCAAAAAGGTTCCCAAGAGGCCTCCTGCGCCTCCTCCTTCTCCTCCTCCTCCTCCTCCTCCTCCTCCTCCTCCTCATCTCTGCTCCTCGTCCAAATGTTTCCCCAAGGATCTCCACAGCGGCTTGGGGGGGACACCTGGTCCAATAACTTGGCCTGACCTGGGCCCAACGTTTAGCCGCCTAGACGCTTCCAGAACAAAGTGGGGCGGTGGTGGTTCGCCACATGCGTCTTCCACCACATGACACATGATGCAAGCAGTCTCTATTGGGCCAGCCTGAGGTCGACGGGTAGGCGCATGGAGAACGAGATGGATCCCACCTGTTGCTTCTGAGCTGCGTGCTGCTTTGCCTCTCACTCCATCCCCAGGCAGATAGCCGCACAAACGATTCACGTGTGGCTCCATAGTTTTGCTTCGTCACTGACGTCCGCCCGTTTCGAAATGGGGAATTGGTTCCTGGCCTCCTGAGCGTCGGCGTTCAACATTCAGCCTTCCAGAAGTCCCCATGCAAGCAGCAGTATGGCGCCGCCGTGGTCGGGCGAGAAACCCGCGGCGGAGGCGTCGAACCACAACGGGAGGAATAGAGCGGAGGGCGGAGCTTCAGCTTTCAGCCGATGCACAGCGGAGGGGGCCTCCAAAGACCATGGACCAACGCACGCCCCGCCCGAGGAACAAACCGCACCGATCGGCAGCGCAGACGCCCAGCGGCTCGTTCGTGTCGAGGCAAGGGCCCCCTGTACCCCTCGACCTAGACTGAAGTCGGGCGTGTCCCCCTACAGGGGGATTTTCGACGAAAAAAAAACAAAAAATACTCCAACATGATCGAGACATATTCAAAACACAATCCCCAGACTATGTTTGGACTATTTTTGAATATTCGCCCTGTAGAGGGGCAGGCCCGACTTAGACCTAGACCCCGGGATCTTCCCTGACTGCCCCGGGTCCGAGCCACGCCTTTGCAGAGGCCAAGACTGGCGAGAAGCCGCGCGCCTCGACGCTGTCGAGCCGCTGGACATCAGGGGCTGCCCCTGGCGAGCTGCGGTCGACTCACCGCTTTTGGCGGCAACTCCAGGGAGCCTCCCGTGCCATTCTGCCGGCTCTTGCGAATCGGCGCTATCCGACGCTGATCGAGGCCAAATCGGCGCTACATCGGCACCAAATCGATGCGAAGCGAAGCCGACGCTCACCGACGCTACATCGGCGCCTTCTCCTCGGTAGCCAGGACGCTCGCGCCCGGTAATGCACTCGAGCGGCGGAACTGCGAGGACAAACAGGACTCCCAGGACTTGCCATCGAGGCCTTGCCTAAGGGATCGACTGCAGAATTGGCTTACCCCAGGATTGATTTCTCATCGAGCACATCAGAAAAATACGTCGAATAGTCCGTGGATCTACGGATCATTCACCGTATGTTTCGTAGATCCGAAGGGGAATCAATTTCGGGGTAGACCGATTCTGCAGCCGATCGCCTACTCGAACGCAGCTTGCTCGTGGACCACCGAGCGTCGCAGCAGCAACCACAGAGAAGCTAGCCATCCCGACTCTAGAAGAAGAAGAAGAAGAAGAAGAAGAAGACGAACGC